AAAATTTGAGTAAAATTAGAAGGAGATTTTTTATTTTATTTTTTAAACAAAAGGCATGAAGTGGGGAGTAACTAATATATGGAGGAATAGAAAATAGAAAATGAAAACAAACCAAGTGAAGAAAGAAAAAAGAAAGTGAAAGTTACGAGACAAGGAAAGAAAAGGAAAGATTTGATATACGTGTGAATGTTGTTTTTCTTCTTATGTCCTCTCTCCCTGTTTCATTTAAGTACTTTAAATTTAAAGGAAAAATGTATTGAGTACTTTAGTTAAAAATTAATTTTAAGGAATTTTGCACAAAATTATAAGGAGATTAGAAACAAATATAGGCATAATGTGGAGAGTAATCGTGGAGTAACATACGGAAATAAAAATAAAAACAAACAAAGTGGAAAAAAAAAAAAGAATAATTACGAGAAATAGAAAGGAAAAAATTATATACAAATGCAGCAGAAATTAACTTGCGAAAAATAGTTTTAGTTCGTTCTATGTATAAAATAGGCCAAAACTGGAGATTTCAATTACTTGAAATTTTTTTATCTTTAATTGCTTCTTCATTTATTTAATTTTAAAAATAAAACAAAATCACGAAAAAAGAAAAAGATATGTACAAAATTAAACGTACAAAAATATATATTTATATATCATAATACATAAAGATATACATTTAGTCAGTTTTTTCACAATTTTTATTATGCACAGTAAGCCTTTTCACATTTTATTTAATTCCTTTTACCTTTGCATTGATAATACAATAAGTGTACTGTCTTTTCAGACTCTCTACAATTTATATATGGTCTTTTAAAATTCTTTGAAGATTTCTTATATCAAATATTATTAATTTGGCAATTTTCCTTTTCTCGTGAAGAACTGAAGATCATTGTTCTAATTTGGTCTACTTGCTCAACATATGAAATAGACATGCAAGTATAATTCTCTTTGATATTGGTTGAGTGTCTTCATCTTTCCTGAATAGCTAGCTTTGTTGAGGATATATTCAAGCTAAATTGTGGTGTTTGAATTATCGTTATTTAGAGAACACAAAACTTGTCCCCTCTTATGCATGATTTTTAATTTTTTTTTTTGGGGGGGGGAAAGGCAAATCCCTTATGATACACCAGATCC